TACTCTATTATTGAACTCTATTCTTTAGAGGAGAGTAAATGGAAGATAACAATTATAAACTCTATTCATTATCATGGGTTAATTAACTTGCGTTCATCTTTTTATCATATATATAAAAACAGAATTGTCAAAAAAAAGAGGATAGTACTGAATTTATTTGCATCCTATATTCGGTCAATATGTTTGTACAATAAGTCAAAGAACGAAGAAAAAACTCTATCATTTTAATTTACATACTCAAAATGAATAAATGAATATCTATATGTGTCAGTAGTCTAATTAAAAGAGTTTGCTTACTTGTTAGAGGATGAAGGTTTTTCTTTTTTTCTTTGTCGGCAATTCAATTTCCATTGTTGAAGCCCAATGGGCAGATACAGAAGGGGCCGGCCCATAAGAGGATTACAAGCGAGTTTACACCCAAAAACTAAATAATTTAATCAATAGATGATTTTAAACATGCAATTATGATTTAGGGTTTTATACGTGGAGAAGACGTGTTTTTCTCACAACTACGCGTCAATTCATTGAGCATCACCGTCAAAATTCACCGGACACCGCCAACTTCGATTAGCAGCCGCCAATCAGCCATGGAGCGGTGAGAATTGAGGATGAAGGTCTAGATAGTCATATTGTAATTTATTATTTTCTATAAATCTGTATCAGAGAAATATATAAGAATTCATTTTTGTCCACCTTCTCCATTATCACACAAAGGAAAAGTTCATCGTAGTAGGTGATAAAAACATTATTACTACGCTCCTCTTATAATGTTTTCTTTTGTCAACCCAATTAACCCGTGGTAGGATAGATTCAACTTACTCATAATACACATTAACCCAATAAAGAGTATAATTTATATTTCAGTGAAACCAACCCTCTTTAATTTATATGTTTTGTATTTTTAGTCAACAATTTTGTATTCTTAAAATAGGATTACCATAGTCCATAGTTATCCCCAGCTTGCAAACTCTTTGCCAGCAATTTTGAATTTCACAACTTTGACAGCATGAAAACGTTAGTTTTATCCAAATATAGGTTTACTTTTTGTTGGGTTCATGTGTATCCTAAGTATGTTTTATCTTCCTCATCATGGGTTAATTAACTTTTGTTCATAGTTTTTATCTCATTAGTTCGCTAAGTGCTTTTCTTTTCTTTT